GTTGGAATGGAATAGGATGGAAGAGAGAAAGTGATTGAAGGTAAGTACTCAGAGCCCAAGGCAAGAAAAGCAAGTTAGGCATGGTATTGGGGTAAGGGGAATAGAGAGGGTTAGTAGTTCCTATCCCTGGAAGAAGATCGACTAAAAACAAGCTGGAAGCAAAAGGAAAGTGTGGAATTTGCACACTTCCACTCATCATCCTCTACCCTCAGGGAGCCTTGCAGCAAACTGTTCAACACACAGGTGCCCTGGTGGTGCCTCTGAGTGCCCAGCAATGCAGAAACGTTCCTGCAGTGAATGTGACAATCGTATGCAAATTGGCGAAGTTAGTGTGGTCCTATAGTGTTCCTATATACCACCCCAGTTGGACTACTTATTGGTTACCATATGTCCAAGCAGTTGTTATATATTTCAGGAGGTTCTTCTTCTAAAAAAGCTCAGCTCACACTGAGAACATTTCAAATTAATACAAAAATAATTTAGTCAGTCTCTGAAATTAGATTTGATAATTTAGTGTAACAAGGTTTTGGAGGACTGTACCTTGTGTTTTCCGACAGTTCAAAGAAAATATTGTACTCCTGATGGAAGTGATTGCTTAGTCAAATCTGTTGAATGTGATGATGCTTCATTTAGTTTGAGTACATGAGGGATTGAGTCATAAATGAAATCAACACCCTCTTATAATCATGACCTCTTCAGTCAGGGATTTTTGTTATAGTATGAAAGCATAACCCTAGGTGAACAGTTATCACTCGAAAAGCTACTCCATCAGCTTCAAGTGGTCTCACATACACACCGGACCGCTCTGTGTGTATGTGACTGAGACAGACTGTGAACGCCTCCATTTTTGTTTTTGTGTTTGTGGTGTGTGTATGTGTGGTGCAGGGGATATTTGTGGGAACCTACTGCTAAATATGTTTATGTTAATTTCCTATTATGGGGATGTATCTTTTATTATTGGGAGTTTGCCCCCTTTTAAGATAGTGGCACATTTTTTTACATGAGGTCCAGGTTTTATGTACAAAAACGGATTACCTGTGAGGTCTGTTCAAGTGTAAAATCTTGAGTTAAAAGCAAGGGCATAGAGATGCACAAATACCACAAAGTCCTTTGTCACTATCACACACCACCTCAGCACTGTCAGAAAGATGCACCAATTTAAAAATAGAGCTGTTCATTTGACCCCCTAGTAGACAGCCTATCTACCATCTCTTTACCAGACCAATGGGATAGGAGTCACCTCGGGGGTTTAACAATTTCCACTATTAGCATATAAAAAGCATACATTTAGCTCAACCTTGTATTAGCAGGAAACATTTGAGACTTTGAGTCTACAGGGTCAAAGGCTAAGAAAAACCTGAGGGGAAATAAAGAAGTACAAAACTCTGATTGGAGAAGCTCTGCCCGAAGCTTGATAACCGGATTTAGCAATAAAATGGAATACTTATGTAATCTGCATGTGCGTAAACACATAATTTATTTCTATTAAATGTTGTTGTCACCTTTCGGGTATTGCTGTCAGGGGGCCCCACAGCGTATATAAGCCTTAACTTGGTAGGTTTCAGTTGGAGTTTATTTTTACCATGGATCCACGCATTTGCTCAAAGACACCTCGAAACGTATTCTGGGATCCACTGCCAGTAAACTGCTCTTACCCCTGAAAAACAGCCACTTCTTTTCTTTAAACAGTATATAATCTGCCCACAAAAATTTCATTAATCTGTTATGTAAAGCAACTAATGCAACTCCTCTCATCTTCTCTGTTTTGTTTTATTCAGCACTTCTAAAGTCTGAAAGAAAATGTAAAAAAAGATCCAGATCTTAAAATGAGGATACTTTTTCTGTACGTTACTGTGCTGCAATCAGAATATGAACATACCTTTCTTTTTAAAAACTGCAAATGACTAAAATCCTGGCATATTCTGGAAAGGCACATTTGCAACCCTACTTAATTATTTATCCAAATGTGGTGAATTGTTTGGCTCAGCTAAATTGAGACACGCTGGCATCCAAAACGTCAGTAACCTTTCCTGGCGTTATAGCAGGCAATTGCTGTGAATCCACGCGGAAGAAAGGTGACTGACAAGAGAGTCAACTGTTTTTCGCAGAGGTTTTTCACCCCAGTCATCTTAAAATAAAGACAATAAGGTTTGAGGAAAAACAATAATTAGACTGAATTGCCTTTTAGAATACACTGTCAATTTTCCATTACGTTGTCAGCGCCTCATGAAACATTGTCCAATTTGCCCTCCAGTGACTCCAGCATAATCGCTACCATGGTGGATTTTCAGTAGTTGATTGGCATAAAAACATGCTCCAGGTATATTGACTTTAGTTACTGAACTGTCGAAAAACTCTAAAAAGATTATATCTATTTTCAAATATTGTACTCTGCCTTGCTCATCGGTTGAACACATTCCTCTTCTACTTCCCTTGCTACCACTATCATTTATATGTTAAAAGACATAAATAGATATACTTAGATAGAAATGTTTTAATGTTGTTTTGTTTTTAGTGCCGTGACTTGTGTGAACGGCCTTCTGAACAGCCTTTATCCATCTGTCCTTCGGAGTGCACACATGGCAAGCACAAATGTAGCACACATGTAGGATGTTTGATAAGGAAGAGTAAAGTGATCTATGGACATTTTTTATTGAAAATGGGACTAATGGACAAATCTTTCCACTTTTTTATTGTACGGATCAGCCCGAATTCTCACCAGGACCAGAAGTAACTTAATAAATGAAACCCACCCTACTAATATACATATTCAAATAGTCTTCAAAAAATCAAACTGAGTGTTGACAATGTGGAAATTAATAAATATTCTTTTTTTTTCATTCATGAATGAGTGCCAACGCCATGCAGCAAAATCTTTGAAAATGCTTCAGACAGCAGGATATATGTGCTCCTGCCTCTAATTTGAGGAGAGCAGCACTGGAACGCGACACCATCACACCCACCATTTTCATCTTAATCAAATCATGTGCAAATGATATCGTGCAGTACCAGGATAGTCTAGTGTACCTAAAAGAAAAAAAATTGTAGGGCTGTAGCTCAGTATTCTGAAGTTGTGGCTGAGAGTGTGACATCAAATTCCCAAAGCCCATTAATTCTTTACATCTCAGCGTTCTTTTTTCAACTAGTTATCTTGAATCATAAAAACAAATCAGGTAGTCTTGAATTGATAATAGTAAAAGTGCTTTAATATTTGTAATAAGAATGTTTTTTTTTCTACTTTTTACACCAGTATGATCCATTTTAATATCTTTGGCCTGTACCGTTTTTTTAGCTAATTAAAAGAAATGTGTACTTTTCTGTTTTTCATCCATCTAGAAAAGTTGTTTGTACACTACTCATAAACCAATTATTGGTAGTGTTGGTATTGTATCCTCTGAAGTTTGGATGTGTTTTTGCATGTTGCGGTTTCAGGTTAACTTCAGGGACAGGCATAGCAGAGTCATAAATCGCTCCACTTAGAGCAGCAACAGTGGCGCTGACCTCAGAGCTGTCACAATTAAGCCTCTTGAGCTTGATTTGTGATCTCACAGATTATTTCAAACTCATTTTACTCAGTGAGACACATCAGGCTGGAATTGTTATTGGAAAAGCTAGAGTCTAATATGGGACTTGTAACAGTTTATAATGTAATTCAAACCAGGTCTTTGTGTTTTCACAAAGCATATCACCACCTTGATCTTGAGTACAGACTCTACAAAGTAAAGTCAAGTGCTCAGGGCATGTGAAGGCTACATGCTCTGAGCACTTGCCAACAGGCTCCTTATATACTGTAATAGTACCATTGTAGCACGCATCACGGAATATAGATCATTGTTTAATGGCTGTTTTGTTCACTGCTCCTTTGCATATGGACAGAGTAAGTGAATCTTGGTGAATCTATGAAAAAATATTCCAGTGGAATGCCAGATCTTAAAGACAGAAAAACAATTTGATTACATCTACGGTCATTCATTTTCAGAAAAAATGTAAACTAATGTAAGTAACATGCAAAGACTAATGCAAAATGCAGTGTTATTGACAAAATGATAACCAGTAAGACTCAGGTGAATAGAAACAAACAAAAAACTATTTAGACTAAATTAAAGATGTATGATTTCAACCAATGTGGAAATCTTAAGATATATCCAAACTGTGTCCAAATCTTGATGTTGACACTGGAGACAAAGCAGCCAAAGCCTACAAAAACTATGGACACATTGAACACTGTCTTTCATCAGCATACTTCGTCAAAGCTCCCAGTCTTCTCTACAACACACAATAAACACACAGTTCAACCAATGTTTGACAAACAGCATCAATATATATTATATTTACTAGTCCAGAATACACTACATTTACCATGGATCATTGTTGTTTTAAAATCAGAAAAGAGAGTAAAACAATGCAGTTACCCTTTTTTTTCTCTCTCTAAAGTGAGTCACATCTTTCACAATACATTAAGTTCACACACTGAAATTTGAAACACATTGATTCTCGACGGTTGGAGATCTGGAAGATGTTTTGTCGGACAATTTTGTCAGTAGCAAAACAAGTGAAGAGGAAGAAGGAAACACAGTTAACTTCCCTGTGCCTTGGATGGATTGTTCCTGTTCCGGGACAGATTGGAATTCGATACAAATCACTAAAAGCAAGTTAGTCAAAGGAAATAAATGTAGACTTTTGCATAATGCTTATTCCTGCCATATCTTCCTCTATTTGTGTAACTTCCAGTGTTTGAAATATTCTAAGTTTTACAAATGTTTGATCTCAAATTCTTCCCTCTCATAGAATAAAATATAGTTATCACCATCATACGTTGAAAAACAAAACATATGAAAAACATTTGTATTGCTCACTGACCACTACTAACATTGTGTTGTATCAGATGTGTGCAGTGAACGTAGATTCTGTAAGCCCAGAGTGCACACTGGCAGCTGCAAGTTATCCTCTGTGAAAACTGTCGCAAGGTGTTGGAGCTGTCTGCAGAAGTGAGGGTATGAATGCTAATTTATGGTGGACCATATGGAGACAACGACAGCATTGTTGGTAGGTGACCAGAGCTCAGAGGGCACAGAGAGGTTAGTGTTACTGGACCGTGGCGTCATTACGAACAGTCATCTAGTTATTGTTTCTAATGCTTATTAAGCTGCTCGGCAGATGGGTGATGATGTGGGCCATGATTACGATCAGAGGCAGTGACTTGTAACTCATACTTAGCCACCAAAGCTCATCTGTGGGACATTAGGGGACGAAAGACGGCTCCAACCTCATGCGGTGTGTTATCCAGTCTGACAGAAAAAGCAGGATTGCAACGAAGAATTCCAGCTTAATTTTAACAAGGAAGGCCTCTCTGTTTATTCAAGGCATGTGCTGTGCTATTGACAGTGTTTACTTATGTAAGTGACATTTGCAACTTTATTTAATTCAGTCAGTTACTGGCTATTGAAATGACCTTTTGTGGGCTTTACAAGCAGGAGCCTATAAACCTCAGGGACTCACCAGCTTTATTGGCATTCAATAATCACACAAGGCATTATTGATGAAGTTGTTGTGCGTGCACAGCATCTTGACATTGTTGTGCCTATGTAATCCCCAAGAGGACATTTATGAAATTGAAATTGATGAAAATGTGGCTCTGGGGCATTTCAGTCCTTTTGCAAGTGTTCAATTTTATTTTCTTCTTTTTTTTTGTAATGACTTAAATATTTCCTTATGGTGGTGACGGAGTTGGAGGCAGTTATAGATGTACTGTGTTCTTTTCTGATGGCTAGAAAATATGGGAACCACTGGTCTGTTTATCTGTCAACCTGATAAATATGCAATTTGCATTATCTGGCCCCTCACCAGCTGTCTACGTCAATGCACACTCATAAAATTCTTTATTCTCCTCCAGATCATATAAATTTACCCAGATGCTTTGCAACCCATTGACTCATAACCTCATTAATTAGGTATAGTGGAGAATTTTGAGTAATTATTATTATTATTACTATTAATATTATTATTATGCATGGCCTTAATATGTCATTTCTGATATGTAATTTTCAACAAAAACATTAAATTATTATTCATATCAAAAAGAAAAACAATTGTGAACTTAAACACAGACTCTCCTTGCCATTCTTAGCTTTAAATATGCCAGAGGGTGAAATCCATCATGCAGATAAGACAGATTTTATTTTATGGGACAACCTCAAGCTTTAAACAATATGAAGATTAATTTTTTCTTGCATTTTATTTCTGCTTCCTCGGCAGTATGTTAAACAGTTGACGACTGTGCCTTATGGCCTGTCGTCTTCAGTCGGCATGTTGGCCGATATAAATAGCAAGGACTGTTTTTTACAACCTGCACAGCAATGTGACTGACTCAGATTTGACATATTGAGCATGGAAACAAATGGGCTCAATTATGTTGTGAGAGAGAGAGAGAGTGGAAAGTGGTATACAATCTTACGTTTATTTTTTACAGCGTGCTCATGTTCCCGCACAGGCATTATCTCCTGTAATCTTTACACATCAAATCAGCTTTTTGTTTTTAACATTACATTTATGCAAATGTATTGTGCTATAAAATAGAAGTCATAGAGCAGATAAGAGGAAAGGCCATTTTTATTAAATGTTTGAATTTAAAATGACATTTTAGCAATATTGACAGGGTTATGCTCATTTCTGCTATAGCCTTTGCTGTTTATAGACATAAACTTTATATTCATATTGCAGCAGAGAGGTTGCAAAAGTCAGGAGATACTGATGGCATGCTTGGGGAAGCATATAGGTATAAAAAGTAAATTTCACCAGACATCACATGCCACAATGCCCCTTTCCTCTGATTCCAGCGCCCTGCCCCAAGGGTGCAATAACAGTTTATTACACCTATCCTCACTTTATGACCCTTCCTTACCTCCACCGGCTCCCCTCTAGCCCACGCTAACTGTTATTGAAAACACCCAGGCCTGCCGTATATCATTTCTGAGCACCACAGTATGCTATGCGCAATATAGCCAATCAGCACTGGTTCATATGGGTATTGTTCAGGTCACATTGGAACGGCTCCACTTATCTAATATCTGCTCCAATATTGAAGTATTTAAACACAAACCCATTTGTCTTTACAGCGTGCATTGCTCCAAGGCTGAATCCTTTTTTTGTCCCACATGTATTTGTTGTGTAATGAGTGAACAGCAAATTCTCTTAGAAATATATTGCCGCGTCGTGTGTATGAAGAAAGGGCAAATGAATTTGGCCTAGATTATGGAGAGCAGGGAGGATAGAGAGCACTCAGTTTGAACTGAGGCATGATATTGGAGAGCTCACTACAGCTTAAAGTAGTGTGCGGAATGGATCTTGGATTAAAATGCAAAGCGTCAGCATTGATCTTTCAAGGTGGAGGTGTTCAAAGAGAGAGGTAACAGCTCATGGGTGACAGTGTGACAAGTCTCAGGGAAGGACCCGTCACCCCTCTGTCACAGCGATGGCTTCTCTGTCAGTGTGGAAACCATGTAGGTAGGAGAAACCGCACCACTTTGTCCATGCAAATGAAAGTTTTGCTTCAAAACAGTGACTCGTGTCCATTCACTGCTAAGCAAGTTTAACACTAAATTTGTGTCTAAGTCCCTAAAAAGAAAGAAAGGAAAATATATTTTTAAAAGACAAAGAAGAACTTCATGTGAATTTCTTCAGTCAATCAGGGAATGTATTTTCACACTTGGCTTGTTTACACCGGCGGATTGGGCAGATGGCTTATATCTTACGGTGGGCTCGTTGTTGGATGAGTGGAAATGGTTCTTTTTAATTACCTCTCAGTTGAGAAGTCCAGTTTGAAAGTCGAAAGCTCCTCTGTGCTGAATGTGCTGAGACCATATAGACCATGTGCACTTACCGCATAGTCAATATATATATATATATATGGGTGCATTTTTACTCTGAAATTGAATATATTTTGTTTCTTTGTGTCAAATGTGGTGCAGAACACAAAAGACACAAGCTCTGCTGTGTTTAAGCTCAGTGTCCAAACTGTTTTCTCATTAGAAACTGTAGGAAAACTGGGTTGGACATGTTTCACTGTGTAATCTGGCAGTGTCATTTTATTATTGTATACATTTTCTAAACATACTATAGATACTACCCAAAGCAGCTGTATTAACATGACCATATCTCTTTATCCCTGTTTTATATTTTTAGTATGTGCTGGGACGGGGAACAAGCTGAGCACACTGTCGGACCTGGAGCAGCAGTATCGCACCCTGAGGAAATACTACGAGAACTGTGAAGTTGTAATGGGAAACCTGGAGATCACAAGCATTGACCGCAGTCGGGACCTCACCTTCCTCAGAGTAAGATTAACATGCAAGAAAAACTCAAAGAATGGACGTTGTATCTCTACAAATGAACGGAAAATTTGAACATCTCTTTGTACACTGCTGTTTCTTTGCATGTGTATTTATACACACATACATATATGTATGTTTGTATATCACCTGACTTCCTTACAGCATTGTCCTATACAGGACATTGGTGTAAGGTTGTCAAGTTATAAAACGAAAAAACTAGTAAGAAACTACATAGATATTCCTTGTATCTGCAAGTTCAGAATACAAACTTTGTCTTGACTGTCTTTTCATTTGACCTTGCTTTCCAAAAATATCTTGTTTTTTCTTCTTTTTTTTTCACCAATCAGCACTCAGATTAGTGTCCATGGATCCAATGATAAGCTAAGAGGAGCATTGTTCTAATCAGGGCTAATCAGCCGTCTTATCAGAGTGTCTGATTGTACTTCTACACCATTGTCGTTTGAGAAATGGAATATTCAAAGTCCAAATAGCTTGAAACTTTTTCTCTTTTAAAGAACATGGCTCACAGCGTCATCTAACAAAAAATGTAACTCTCACAATTCAGAATTTAAACTATGTTACAGCAGGGATAAAGAAACAGTAAGCCACTCAAACAGAGCTATAAAAATAAATTCCTAAATAACTGAAAGCACACTCTCAGTTTATTTAACAAGACAAACATAATCTCTGTGGTCAGAGCGACATGCCCCTCTAAGACACGAACAGTGATTTCAGGGTAAAGACAAGAACGTTCATGCATCGCAATTTGCAATTCATTTGCCATTTGTTTTCGTGTTATTTAGTAATTCTTTCCCTCCATCAATTTTCAACAAATTTTCATAAGCACCATCCTGCAGAGCTTGCACCCGCAAATTCCAACTGATGTCAGTTTATCTTGGGGGCTGTGGGGCTCCCCTGGTGCTCTGCTAAAGTGCTGACCACATCATTGGGTCACTACGGCAGTTTGGATTTACTGGCAAAAAGAGGCTTTGCAAAGAAAGCATAGCTGTAGTAAAGCGAGAGGTGTTTTCATATTCACCGCCTATGGCAATGGTTCAAAATTAATGGCTATCTTCAAAAGAAGAATTATTTGTTAACATCAGGTAAAAATAACGAACCAACTGTTTTTCTTGTGAAATCGGTGAGTATTGACCAAAATATGAAGAATGATCAAAAGCACCAGAACAAAACAGTCATTAAGTGCCCTGCATCGTGCAGAGTATTAAATCACGATTATATTAAAAAGAGGGGAGCAATGGATTGGTTGACTGCTACCATTAGACCCCTGCAGAGACAACCGGTCCCATTGACTTTGATTAAAGCGGTGGTATGAGTGTGTGCCTTGAAACAACATTCTAACTTCTTCCTTTTAAGTTAACTTCATATAAAGAAAGTATTTGAGCCTCAAAGCCCATAAGCATATGCACCTCTTTAGATGCCGATGTTACAGCAGCAGTGATTTACAAAATGTCTCCCTGTGGCACTAACGTTCCAGGGTCCTCCACCTTTCTATGCTTGGCAATTAAAATGGGTTAATTGAAGATGCTAATTAGAAACATGAGGTGCCAAACAGCAAGGGAGCCAAAGGGCAGGGTGCAGTATGTATTTTAAGGGAATATTATTATTATTATGATAAGATACATTAATAACATGCTTCCCCAAGGAGGGAAAAATCACCTTGAGGTAGAATAGAAAAGAGGTAAGGAGGGAAAAAAAACTATTGTGTGGAGGCTTACCATACCACCTGTCTGTGGAAGGTGATTGAAACTGATGCCTGTGCATTGGCTGCTTCTTTTGAAGATAGCCGAAAGATTGATGGCTGCCTCCCAAAGCCCCTCAAACAGCTTAAGCAGTAAATAGAGTCCATCTTCCAAACTGCCTCCACAACAGATGAATCAACGCTTGCACAGTGATTAATACCTTGCATTTCAGCAGTGAGGCTTTCATCCCCTCACATATGCGAATTTTCTGCCCCAACAGTGAGCTTTAACCACACACAGTGTTTACAGTGTCAGCATTTAAATCCATATTCTCAGTCCTTTGAATCCATGTTTTAAGCCGAACATGCATTTGCATACAAAAATTGAAATTTCAAATTGTTGTCTGGCTGTACATACCCTCGTGTCACACACTGCTTTTGTAAACAGGACAAAAAGAAAAGCTAACACACAGTTTGCACCCCCCATGACATTTCTTACGTGAGTCCACAAACAGATTTGTGATTATAAAACATTGATTTAATCCCTATCCTCACATCCTCCCTGTGTCATCCTACAGAAGTCTCTAGGAAGCGGGGAGTTTGTTTCCAGAAAACCTGTGCAATGATTACCTTGTTTAATGCCTGATCTTTTCTTGCTTGTATAGCCTGATTGTTTTTTAAATGTGCTCTGATACAATGAGGGCTACTCACACAGGACCCAAAAACTAGATATGTGACTTAAAACATTCCAATTAGGCAAACAAAATAGTCAAATTTACAATTTTATTGTACTATACTAGATAGTGTTGTACTATTCTTATTATTTTGGGAGATTTTGGCCTTAGTCTATTGATATGACTATTGATATGAGCACTGTTGACCCTTTGACATGGTGAAAATCTGTCACAGTCACGCCTAACAGATGGTATTTGAACAACATTTGAACCAGCGATTAAAAATAGTTTAAACTTGAGAGAATATAAAGAAATAGTTTTACTTCATTATTGAAAATACACTAAACAATTCTGGCATAGTGTCTTTTCAATAATAATGTAAAGCTGCCAGACAATCTACTAGAGTCTAATTGAGTAATTTCTGATAGGATTGGGAGCATAACAGCTTACATAACAAGAATATATGCACAGACGTGTCCTTCATTTCTGCAGGTTAAGTCCCGACTGACTTGACCGTGTTTTTCTTTATAGTGAAGAGGTCCAGATTTGGGTTAAAAGGTGTTGTGAATTCAGCAAACATTTTGCTTGAGTGAATTATATACTTGCATATCACAAACATTGGCAAGCTAGAAAGCAGTTGAACTTTTATAAGTAGCATTTAACAAAGTTGGGCTTTTTCTTATGTATTTTTTAGCTTAAAATATGTATATAGATTTGAGAAATGTGAAGAAATGTCTGATGATTTTTTTTTTTACTTTGCAACTTTGAAGAAGGCTTGAAGCAACTATGAGGCTTCTGTCTGAAAATGATAAAACATATTGAGTGATGTGAAAACTGGAAATTATTTTCCTCTTTTGTTATTTATAGATTGATTGTTTTTCCTACATGTTTAAAAGAGGATCAGATAAGAATAAGTTACTGCCTTATCAGTTTGCATTTAGTCAAATGAATAGAACATGTTTTTAAGAATGGTCAATACTCATAATGTATGTCCATCTAGTAAAGAAGATATTCGATTAAACCCAACTACTTAATTTATTATTACATATGAAAAAATATAGATACAATATATAGCACACATTTTAAGTGTGAAGTGTTAAGTCTACACAGTTGAGCTTATTTGCAATTCAGTTATCTCGTGTCAAAATTTCAAAGCTGGAACTCACTGAACCAGAAGAACTTTAGTGAATGCTTTAGAATATTTCATGTTCAAGATGTCAGATATGATGTGTGTCTTAAAAATGCACAGAATGTACATGAAAAAGGGTAAATGTAGTGGTCAGTTCACCATAAGCTGGTGAGAATAAAGGGCAATGTGTCTGAGGTCTAAGTGCATGAAGGATTCATAGGTCAGTGTTGAGTGGCTTAAAATGGTCAGACGCAGGGACCAAAAATGAGTGGAAAAAGCAGAAAATGCCCCAAACTAAACTTTGAGTGACCTTCTAATGCCACAATCAAAGTATGCTTCTATAAAAGTGTCATACTGTAAAAAGCAAATATATTTTTTTGTGAAAAGTTAAGGTCTCTTAACCCATAACTTGATAGGCTGTGGACTTCGAAAGCGATTTTCAATATTTTCAATATTATTTGCTCAGCTTGTGGCAAGTTGAGTTCTATGAGTGGGGGAATTAATTCAAAATGCATTATTATTGGTTCTTATGCATTTTACAACAGTATATGAGAAGTTCCTAATAAATTGAAATATCCAAAGAATTCAAAGGCAGCATCTATTTTCCTGCACTCTGCTCTTGTCTCCTGACATCTTTCTTCATATCTCTTTTTGACTGACATATTTGTCCCTTAGGCACCATCAGTGTCCTCCCCAGCTTCCTAATTTCTGATGCACTGTTAGATGGGCGCAGATTACGTTGGCCCCATGCTCCTCAGCAAACTCTTTCAATATTAATGAAGACTGATGAAGTGCTAGGGAGCCCCTGTCTTTCAGCCCTGACCTAGATTGGATTGACAGTTGCAATTAGCGTCTCCTCAAGTTCATTTCCATCACTTTAATTTGACATGAAGAAGGACAGTGTGGGGTTGGAAGTGACACCAGTGAGAGAGAGAGTGTGAGAGAGAGAGAGAGAGAAAGAGAAGTCCTGGGGGAATGGTAGACAAGGGAAACCGAAGTGAAGGAGTTCGAACAAGAACATTTTGGAAGTGCATTCTATAACAAATACAACAAATGTAGTGAATATTTCTATTGGATTTCCATCAATATTTTGTCCAACTTACTTTTTATATTTCCCCAATACAGTTTATATCTAAATATATATATTTCTGAAAAAACAGTATGAGTTTTGTGATGTGTGTATTGCACACACAACTTGCTGTGGCCTTTGGGTGACTACAAATAAAAGTCACAATAGACTTCAACAAATAGAAGCTGGAGTCAGCATGACAAGATCGAAACCAAAATCTCTGTTTACAGGGAAAAAAACTTTTAGCAAGGCTGGTCTTAAGGCTCAAGTGTCTGCCCTCCAAAAACGCCACTACTTTTTCCACAGTGCAGGAAAAAAAGATATGGGCATAAGAAAAGAGTGGGCATAGAGTCTGCCGTAAAATGGCTTTAAAGTTTTTTGGACCATTAAAAGCAATTCTGAACTCGAAAAGTCTATTTACACTAAACAACT